CTGATCTGAACACACCATAGAGACTACTGTGTCACATATTATGTGTCAAGGCAAACATCACTATTAGTGTTGCTTAAACTCAGGGATAGAGGTGTGTTTAAAATATGGAAGAAACATTGTATAATCCTACATCGAAGGAGGAAACGGAGCTATATCGAGAGATCAGAATATCACAGAGAGATGAGGAGGGACACTTTCACTTGAGACAGTAATAAACCACACAAAACACCCCAGCAACCCCATAGCATTGCATTGACAAACATTCCGAGCATTCCAGAAATCTTATAGCAAAATCCTGGAAAACATTAAGAACACCCTAGCAACGCCCTGCCAAAACACCTACAGCAACTCCATAGCAACGCACTGCCAAAACATCTATAGCACCCCAGCAACCCCATAGCAACGCCTTGACAAACAACCAGAACATTCTAGGAACACCACAGCAAAGCCTTGGCAAACATTCGGAGCATCCCAGCAATCCCATAGCAACACCCTGGAAAAAACACCCAAAAGACCCTAGCAACCCCATAGTAATGCCCTGGCAAACACCCAGAATATTCTAGCAACACCATAGCAATGCCCTGCAAACACCCAGAACATTCTAGCAACACCATCAAACACCCAAAACATTGTTAGCAACACCAAAGTAATGCCCTGCAAACACCCAGAACTTTCTAGCAACACCATAGTAATGCCCTGCAAACACCCAGAACTTTCTAGCAACACCATAGTAACACCCTGGCAAACACCCAGAACATTCTAGCAACACTATAGTAATGCCCTGGCAAACACCCAGAACTTTCTAGCAACACCATAGTAACACCCTGGCAAACACCCAGAACATTCTAGCAACACTATAGTAATGCCCTGGCAAACACCCAGAACTTTCTAGCAACACCATAGTAATGCCCTGGCAAACAACCAGAACTTTCTAGCAACACCATAGTAATGGCCTGCAATCATCCAGAACTTTCTAGCAACACCATATGCCCTGGCAAACACCCAGAACTTTCTAGCAACACCATAGTAACACCCTGGCAAACACCCAGAACATTCTAGCAACACTATAGTAATGCCCTGCAAACACCCAGAACATTCTAGCAACACCATAGTAACGCCCTGCAAACACCCAGAACTAGGGCTGCACGATAAATCGCATGTGATATTCATGCGCATCTTGTCAGTAAAGCCGGTTCTGTAATCGGTAGTAAATCTCCATCATGTGCGTGCTTTCAGATGGAGCAGCATTTACTACACAGAGCCGTAGTTCACTGATAAGCTGCGCAAAACGACGTTCATAATCGCAGACGATATCATCGATATTATACATCGATATTAAGAAACCACGCAATAAAGTAATAATAGTTCATTCATCATCGTCGCTGAAGAAGAAGAAAGGTTAATAGATAATAAAGTTGTTTGTGTAGCTTCTCAGTGAACTACGGCTTTGTGTAGTAAATGCTGCTCCATCTGAAAGCACATGAAAATACCAGATTTAATAACATGTTTTTACTCCAAACTCACTTCATAACGTCAGTTGAGTGTTTTAAATAAATCCTTCTGTGAGATAATGTGGCTTCTTACACAGAATAAGGCACGCAACATATTTCATAGTATTCTAAGCCATGATAAAGGCATTGCATTATTATATACTTTATTATAAGGAAAATTATAATAAGAAGAACTTAGATAAACCATATATTGTCATAGTCATGTGTTTATTAGTCATGTTGAATCAATGAAAGCAGTTAAATCTTCTGTTTATTCAGCAACCGCTATAGGCATTTCCTGGGTTTCTTCTGTGGGGCATATTTGGAGTTTCCACGCGAGAGCACCCTCTGGCCTTCGGATGGAGATTTACTAATGATCACAGAACCATGCTTCACTGACAAGATGCGCATAACTTATCACAGCTTTTGCCTAATATCGATTGTGATATCATTTCGATTTAATGCAATTTATTGTGCAGCCCTACCCAGAACATTCTAGCAACTCCATAGCAACACCCTACAAACACCCAGAACATTCTAGCAACACAATAGCAATCCCCTGGCAAAAACACCCAGAACATTATATCAACACCATACCAACACTCTGGCAAAAACACTCAGAACATTCTAACAACCCCATAGCAACACCCTAGCAAACACCCAGAACACCCCAGCAACCCCATAGCATCACCCTGCAGACACACACAACATTCTAGCAACACCCTGTAAACACCCAGAACATTCCTGCAACACCATAATAACACCCTGGAAAAACACCCAGAACATTCTAGCAACACCATAGTAATGCCCTGCAAACACCCAGAACATTCTAGCAACACCATAGTAATTTCCTTTAAAGGATCAATAAAGTATCAATCAATCAATCAATGCCCTTCAAACACATAGAACATTCTAGCAACACTATAGCAACACCCTGGCAAACACCCAGAACACCCTAGCAACCCCATAGCAACACCCTGCAAACACCCAGAACATTCTAGCAACACCATAGTAACGCCCTGGCAAACACTCAGAACATTCTAGCAACACCATAGCAATGTCCTGCAAAAGCCCAGAACATCTTAGCAACACCATAGTAATGCCCTACAAACACCCAGAACATTCTAGCAACACCATAGCAACACCCTGCAAACACCCAGAACATTCCTGCAACACCATAGCACGAGTATGGGTAACCATACTTGGCCACATGTCACGTCACTTTATCTACTAACTGTCATCAGCACTGTTTCTGAGCTCTGTTCTATTTATAGACTGAATTTAGGGTGGCATCTGAAATCTTGATTTGTCGGCGCTCTGAGACTGCGTTTCTCATTTTCATCTCTCTCTCTCAGGCGTGAATGGATTTTCAGAGGCTGTATGCAGATCTCAGAGCTTCACCTGCTGACACGCAGCACCGCCGCTTCCCCAGAGTCTCAGTGTCACGCGTGTCGTCACATTAATGCTCTGCATGTAAATCTCTGTGTGTTCATGTGGTCTGTGGGCAGATCGAGTCAGACGTCTGCCTTACCTCTGCTCTCTGATTTGAATAAGAAAGTGACCGGTGACTTAACGAGGCACAGCGTGTTCGTTCAGATGACGGCAGGATATTCTCAGTCTGTCAGGTCATGTGGCTGCCTCACTCTATTAACTGGCAGCGAGGAGCCCTGGCAATGATATTTCAAGGTCAGAAGAAACACATGACCTCTATATCCTGCTTGAATGGGCTATCGGTGTACTTGAGGCTTCTTTTTAGGACAGTAGTGTTATGGGTGGTAACTAACACTATTTAAAAAGTCTCAATGATAATCTGGGGTTGCACCATCTGCACATTAGTTACAATTTAGCGTAGTTTTGATGTAAGCTACATCTTAAACACTACTAATTATTTTTGCGTTGCGCTATTAAATTTAATTAAAACCTAATTCTATGCATAAACTAAATATTTACAGAAGCATATTGACTGAACTGCATCAATATGCTTTTGTTTTACCTGACAGACTTTATTAGTTTAATGGTGTAGCAGGCAGTGGTGGAAAGTGTACTGAAAAAATATACTCAAGTAAAAGTACCATTACCTTCCAAAAAATGTAGTGCGAGTAGAGTAAAAGTACTTGTTTACTCTCTATCCAATCACGTTGATGGATAAAAATAAAATTAAAATAAGCATGTAACGACCACAAACGGAGGAAAATAGCGGAGTAAAAGTACCGATACATCTCTTAAAATGTACTCAAGTAAAAGTAAAAGTACACAATTTTAAAACTACTCAAAAAAGTACAATTACTGATAAAAATTACTTAATTACTGTAACGTGAGTATTTGTAATTCGTTACTTCACACCCCTGGTAGCAGGACATCTTGGAAAATGCTAACTTTAGCCTGATAGCACTGAAAGCGTCACCTATTGCACCTTTAACACAGTATATGATAAAGTTGACATTTACACTTATTTACATTTACATTTATGTTAGCGGCATTTCAACGCAAGCTTGATCTAAACAGCGCACCTTAGCATTATTTCCATCACAGAATAAAGAATATTACGTTTATTGCAACTTTTTATCTCATAGCTCTGATTTTTTTCTCAGAATTGTGAATTTTTCTCTCGCGATCAAAAGTTACTACTTGCGAGATTTATACAAAGTGTAGCAGGGTGGTATAACTCTTATTGCTATTGGCTGGGGTCATGCTAGAACTTTAAACCTATCAGAGCTCGTTGTGGGGACTATAAAAACGAGAGTGTTTTGTGGCTTGGGACGCGCCATTAGTGGCACCACCCCTTTTTGTGGATTCTTCCATTGTGAATTGGCGTTAGGTGTAGTAGCGGTGAAGTCGCAAATTTGTGGAAAGATACAGGGGATGGTAATATCAATGTGCTTGTTACCGCCAGGGTCGTTGTTTCTAGTTTTCAGGCTGCTGTGTGTTTCTCGTTGCTAAAAGGAATTTTGTCCATTAACAAGAATTATCTTGTTTATAAATGTGAGATATAAACTTTTTTACTTAGTTAACATCTAGCAATTCAGATATTTTTTCTCAGAATTATGACTTTACATCAATTAATAACTTGCAATTAATAACTGAGTTTATAACTTACATTTGCAAGTTTACATCTTGCAATTATGAGGTTTTTTTTCTGAATGAAGCTTATATCCTGATAATGCATGTTATTAATTGCTAGATGTAAACTAAAAATTCTGAGAAAAAAAATCTGAATTGTGAGAAGTAAACTTATTTGTAAAAAGTTTATAACTTGCAATTGTGGGATATAAATTCGTTAATAAGTTAAATACTAATTGTTATAGGTTTGTTCAAAACTACTAAACCCAATTATGAGCAAAAATAATAGTGATGCTCGCCTAAAACCACAGCGCTCAAGAAGTCAGTTCCAGCTCTCTATCTGACACAGAGGCATTTTCAACCTGATTCTGTCACCCGTCTCACTTTCGAGGCTTATGAATAAGCTCCTTAACAGAAGTGATGCTCACAACGATACAAAAGGTGACTTACCGTGTTGCTCGAGTTCCCATTTAAATGCAAACCACTGTCGAAAAGCGGCGAGGACGCCCTGCTACTCTGATCGCTGGACGGTCCGGGTGAACCTGAGGGAATACGGCAGATTATTACATATTCTATATACAGCAGAGCTCATACTGTGTGCAAATCTGCTTTAGTGACTCCACACTTCTAAATCCGTGCGATATGACAAGCATTAGCTTGGCAAGCCGCTTTCTGGGTTGTCATGATGCCACGGACACCAAAGTCAAAGGAGATTATGGGTATAAAGGTGAGTGTGAAATGCACGAGATGCAGGAGTTCTGACACGGCCGTCACTGGAAAATGCAGAGCGAAAAAAAATGATTTCATGCAGAGGAATCTACGAGACAATGCTCTGAAAGTCGTCCTTCTGTCTCATGCAGCACATAGCTGCTTGCTTCAGTCCTGAGAGAGTCGCCTTCCTGCAGAGTCGATGCTGCCTTCAGAATCGTCTGTGAAGCTCCTACTTACTAGTTGAAATGTGACGTGCATTCAAGTAATTTTAGTCTGAAGAAAATGGATGACTTGGAAAAATTCATATTTTTTCTCTATTTTTCACTTCATGACAAATACCCATGGCATAACAAAACGGAGAGCAAAGGTTGTGCATAAGGTGTATAACTCTGTAACTGCTGTTACTGTTAACTAAAAATAAAAGAAAACCTTTATATCTATTTAAAAAACGGTAATTGGTAAAATGGTATTATATATAAAACATAGGGAAAACATAAACCTTAAAACCTTAAAGGGGTCATATGATGCGATTTCAAGTTTTCCTTTCTCTTTGGAGTGTTACAAGCTCTTGGTGCATAAAGAAGATCTGTAAAGTTGCAAAGACTAAAGTCTCAAATCCAAAGAGATATTCTTTATAAAAGTTAAGAGTCAGCCACGCCTACCTAAAACGGCTCGTTCTAACACGCCCCCACACTGTAAACCCGAACAGTACTACTAACTTATAAAGATTAAGAACACTGCAAAGAAAATGAGAAATGTTGCTTTGGCAAATATATGAAAAAACAAAGTTTATGTTTAAAATGTTTAACTACTAAAATAAAATGTCTTTAAAAAGTACTAAAATTACTAAAACTAAAACTGAAAAAAGAAAGGTATATTGAAATATTAAAAAAGAAAAGAAAATGACAAAAGCACATATCAAAACTACTAAAACTTTAAAAAATAAAATAAAAAAAAATATATCAAATTAAAACTGAAAATATATAAAAAGGCTCATTCAAAATATTAAAAAAATAATAAATTTTAAATTAAAATTTTATAAAAAAAATTATTAAAAAAATTATGCCAGTATATAAATAATACAAAAATAACACTATACTTAATGTTGTATTTGCATATTTTTTAATTATTGTGTTGCTACAGAGAATGAAAAGATGAAATGTTGTTTGGTTTCCTAATAAACCAGTTAAATTAGTGGCATTTTCTGGTAAGATTTATTGCTGTTCTTAATAATAAATGCTCAAAATGCAAACTATATAAGCAACAATTACAATTAAATCTTAATTATGACAAATGCAACTTGCTTCTGCCATAATCTTTACTTTACAAAGGCTGCCTCACATGTAAACTTTGCAGAGAAGGCAGTCCCAGAAAGCATTGCAACAATCTCCCATGTGTTTGCCATGCAATTTGTGTTAAATGCAATATTTCTGCATCCCAAATCACTAACTATTGAGGTTGCATTTCAGTTAGGATGCTTCCTCAGAAGGCAGCTGCCTGTCCAGACAGTGAGCTTTAGTAGCAGAGCTCCGATGTGAAGCAAACCTACCTAATGGGAGTTTTAAGAAGGCCGGCGCTTCCCTGAGGTAGCGTACAGTGATGGTGACTTCATCCCCCGCCGTCCGCAAAAGATGAACCTGCGCAGAAATATAAAAGAGATAAAACATCCTCCTGACATCAGGGTGAGAAGATGCACTTGAGCTGCATTTAAATGACTCTTTCACACCTAATTGAGTCGAGGGGCCTCAACATTTGGATTAAATCAGCTCTATGCAATCAGCATGTAATCTCTCAGAGATTTCTCATAAATGATTATTATAGCAAGCGTCGTGTGATCTCTCTCCGCTGGAGCACTGGACCATCAAGTGTTGAGTTCAGGTTCACTAACCACTCCCTAGACTCAGTGTCTCGTATCTTCAGATTTCATCATCTCACGCAGGGATTCACAAATTCTTTGCCAGCTGAACCTCTCTGACCTAAAATATTTCCTCGAATTTACTAGAATTAAAGGTGATATTTTAATAATTTAACATTTTATGGTCCTCTGATGTCAGTTATTGGTCAAAAACAAACAAACAAACACACACACACACACACACACACAAACAAACAAACAAACACACA